TCTGTGGGCCATCTGTATGTCTTCTTTGGAAAAATGTTCAGATCTTCTACTCATTGTGGTTTCATATATCATCTATAGATCTATAGTATAAATCATATATATAATGTGATCTACTTTGCATACTTTTCTGCATTTTTTTCTCACTTAGGTATTTAGAAGCTTTACGTGGTGGCACATATAACTCTTTAACCACTGTATGTATTGCATAGTATGGATTACCACAGTTCATTTAGCCAGTCCCCTATTGATGGACGTTTGATTTCTAATTTTTTGCTATCATAAAAAGTTCTTCAGTAATTACCATTGAGCATACCTCTTTGTGTATATGTACAAATATTTTACTAGCATAGATACTTGGAAATGGAATTGTTACGTCGGCAATAAGTGACATTAACTGAGTCTTCAAGGACAGTAAGAGTGTGCCAGGTAGAGATGAGGAAGAAAGGTATTCCCTTCAGAAGGAACAGTCTGCATAAATCATAAAGGAAAGGAGAAAATATATATTTAATGTTTGCGCTGTATATTCTTTTTTTAATGTTTTATTATTTATTTTTGAGAGAGAGAGAGAGACAGTATGAAGAAGAAAGGGACAGAGAGAGAAAGAGACACATATACAGAATCCAAAGCAGGCTCCAGACTCTGAGCTGTCAGCACAGAGTCTGATGCAGGGCTCGAACTCACGGACTGAGAGATTCATGACCTGAGCCAAAGTCGGTGCTTAAGGAACTGAGCCACACAGGTGCTCCGCACTGTATAGAGTATTTCAACTCACAGCAACTCAGAAAGATTAAGTAGTATTATTCCTGTTTTACAAATAAGAAACTAAGTCCCCAAGAGTTTAAGTAGCCTGCCAAGAATTACAGAGCTCAAGTGGACACCCAGGATTTGCCCATGCTTTACCTCTCTGTTGTGAAAATGTAGTTAGAGCACATGTATACTTTTAATGTAGCTGGAGGGTACAGTCACTGAGGCAGAGGAGGAAGGGGGAAGAGGAGAAGGTCTGGTATGTGGCTGGTAAAGTAGATTGAAGGGCATGACAGAACATACTGAAGATCTTGGAGTTATACCCAGGTAAGGTTCGATTTACCAGTGTAGAAACAGCAAAATTGGAACTGATGCAAAAATTAGCCGCCGGGTGGGGCAATGTGCCTGAGTGATTTCGACAGGTAAATGTCCGACTCTTGATTTCAGCTCCGGTCATCTCACAATTTGTGAGTTCAAGCTCCGTCAGGCTCTGCACTAACAGTGCAAACCTTCTAGGAATTCTCTCTCTCCCTCTGCCCCTCCCCTACTTGTGCTCTCTCTCTCTCATTCTCTCTTTCTCTAAAATTATATAAATAAACTTTTAAAAAGAAAAGTATTTGGCTTTTACAAGAAAATATGGTTTTTCATAACTCACTTTAGGCTTTTATTAACTACTTAATAAATAGAACCACTAAGCATTTCTTTTGGCCTATGGGAACTGCAGAAAATTTACTAAGGCATTAAAGGATGAAACAAGAAAGTTTGGGAACCTTTGGTTTATACTATTGCGCTCCAACTAGTTTTTAAAATTTAATACTATATTTTGGACAGTTTACACTGAATAATATTCCATTGTATAAACATACCACTTATAACCATTCCCTGATTGATAGACTTCCAGCTTATTTCCATTTTTCAATATTACAGAGAATGCTGCCAACAAATACATTATACCTGAATACGTTGGTACTTATCCTTGCTAATACCCCTATAGTAAGATACACTCCTAAAAGAAAATTTGTGAGGCACAAAAGACATACATATATAAAATGTTATTACTGCCAGGTTTTCCATTCAAAAGATTTTAACATTACACACTCCCAGCAATGTGCAAGCATACCCATTTCCTCATACCCTCACCAATATTTGATATTATCTATCCTTTTAATTGTTATAAATCTTTTTTTAATGTTTTATTTATTTCTGAGAGAGAGAGAGACTGCATGAGCAGGGGAGGATCAGAGAGAGAGGGAGACACAGAATCTGAAGCAGGCTCCAGGCTCTGAGCTGGCTGTCAGCACAGAGCCCAACGCGGGGCTCGAACCCACGAACCGCGAGATCATGACCTGAGCTGAAGTTGGATGCTTAACCGACTGAGCCACCCAAGCGCCCCTAATTGTTACAAATCTTGTTTTGACCATTTTTGTATGGGGAATTTTGTCCTTTTTCTATTAATGTGTGCTCTATTAATAGTAATCTTTTGTCTTTTCTATATTACAAATATTTTGTTCCTGCCTGCCACTTGTCTTCCAAGTATTCATTGTTCTTTTTTTATTTTGTTAATATATTTTTTTAATGTTTATTTATTTTGAGAGAGAGAGGGAGGGAGAGAAAGAATCCCAAGCAAGCTCTGTGCTGTCAGTGCAGAGCTCAGTGTGGGGCTCGAACTCACAAACTATGAGATCATGACCTGAGATGAAGTCAGATGTTTAGCTGACTGAGCCACCCAGGCGCCCTAATTGTTCTTTTGCCATATATAAATTTAGCATTTTTATGAGGTCAAATCTTTATGACTTCTGATTTTACCATGTTTAGAATGATCTTCTTATCCCAAGATTTAAACTATCGGCTCATGTTTTCTATTAGTACTTCTTAGATATTACTTTTTAGGTTGAAATTTAAATTTACATATAAGAAATAAGGGAATAGACTGCTTAAAGTTTCTTCCTGATGTCTAGCTAGTTGCTCTACATATTCATTGAATGAAATTTCCCCATTAATCTGAAATATCACTGTTACCAAATAGTGAATTCTTACAGGTGGTATATTGTATGTCTGCTTCCAGGCTTAGACCTTTAAATACTTTTCTATGCAAGTTTATACTATTTGAACCAATTTTGGGGCACCTGGGTAGCTCAGTCAGTTAAGCGTCCAACTACAGCTCAGGTCATGATCTCATGGTTCGTTGGGTTGAAGCCCCTCATTGGGCTCTGTACTGACAGCTCAGAGCCTGGAGCCTGCTTTGAATTTTGTGTCTCCTTCTTCCTCCGTCTCTCCCCCCACTCACAATCTCTCTCTCTCTCAAAAATAAATAATAAAATATATAATATATATAATATATTTAAACCTATTTCACTTTATATTTAATGTTTAAAACATTTGAAGTATTATTATTTACCCTTATTATAAGTGATAATTTTGTTGTGTAATATTATTAAAATTTTTTGTTTTTATTTAAAAAATCTTTTAGGTTTTCTTTCATGTTTAAAAAAAGACAATATGGACCTATAGAAAAGTTGCAAAAGTAAAATGGAGTTCCCTTTATTCTTATTCAACTTCCTCTAACGTAAGCATCTTATGTGATACAATTACTGAAATCAGGAAAGAAATATTGACATAATACTATGAACTAATCCACAGACTTTATTTAAATTTCATCAGTTTGGGGGCACCTGGGTGGCTCAGTCAGTTAAGCGTCCAACTCTTGATTTTGGCTCAGGTCAAAAACTAACAGTTTGAGCCCCACATTGGGCTCCATACTGATAGTGCAGAGCCTACTTGAATTCTCTCTCTCTCTCTCTCTCTGCCCCTCTCAACTCACGTTCTCTCTCACTCTCTCAAAATAAATAAACTTCAAATTTCACCAGTTTTCACACTGATGTCTTTTATAGTCCAGATCCAATCCAGGATTCTACATTGTATTACATTGTCATGTCTCCTTAGTAGGCTTCAGTCTGTTGACAGTTCCATGCTCTTTTCTTTTAGAACTTTGATACTTTTTAAGAGTACTAGTTATTTTGTAGATTTAATTTGTCTGAGATGGTCTTCTGATTTGACTCAGGGTATGCATTTTTGGCAAAAATACTAAGGAAGTGATGTGCTCTTCAAGTATCCTCTTAGCGACTGTATGGTGTCAACATTTCTTATCACTAGTGGTCTTTGAATAATTGGTTAAAGTGGCATCTTTCAGGTGTCTCCTTTTGTAATTAGTAATTATCTCCTGGGGAGATACCATCCTATTTCTCATCATACTTTCACCCCCTAACTCTAGCATCTATTAGTGGCTCTTGTTGAAATAATTAGTGGGGTGTTAACCTAATGGTGATTTTCTCTATCATTCATTCTACATTTATCAATTGAAATAATCCCTTCTAGGGGTGCCTGGGTAGCTCAGTCAGTTAAGCGTCTGACTTCAGCTCAGGTCATGACCTCATGGTTCCATGAGTTCAAGACCCACATTGAGCCCTCTGCTGACAGCTCCGAGCCTAGAGCCTGCTTCAGATTCTGTGTGTGTGTCTCTCTCTGCCATTCCCCAGCTCTCTCTTTCTCAAAAAGAAATTAACATCAATAAAAAAAAATTTTAAAGGAAATAATCCCTTCTCCCCATTTATTCAATTATATACTTATATCACTTTGGACCCATGGATTTATTTTATGGGTTATTACTCCATACCATATTATATTACCAATTATTTTTTGTTTTTATTTACGTAATCTCTACACCCAACATGGGGCTTGAACTCACAGTCCTGAGATAAAGAGTCACATGCTTTTCTGACTGAGGCAGCCACATAACCCTATCAATTATTTAACAGACAGAAAGAGTGCTTTTAAGTACTTACAAGTGTAGTTTCAATTGTAACGTCCCCACATCTAACATATGGCTTGTTCTCTTTGCTTGTAAGGGAATATTATATTTTCCTTCACATTATAATTTAGATCATGGTTAACTTACAAATTATTTGCACAATTCTGTTACCAAATGCTGAGTGTGTATTTAGGAGCTCCACCTAATTAAGGGCTTGGAGAGAGTAGAATATGGAGCTGGTACAAGGCCAACTGTTAAGCATGGAGGGCAAGAGGGTGTGGCTACATCAGGCTGTGTGCAAAATACACTGAATGTACAATACAGTGAAGTCAAAACATCAACTATCGTTAGCTGACTGGAACCAGGGGGAAACTTTCCTTTGAACTGCTTTCCAGGTATTAATAGCAATGTTACTTTGAAAGTGCCTAAATTATTTTCTTCTTTCCAGGCTTGAAGTCAATAAAAGGAAGCTGCCACAATTTTTGTACTGCTGTTAAAGATGTCACTTACAAGGAACTTAAAAGTCTCTTGAATTCCAGGCAAATTACATTAATTGATGTTAGAGAAAGATGGGAAATTGTCGAGTATGGGAAAATTCCCGGGTCCATCAATATACCACGTAAGTGAACTGTGTCTTAAACTGATTCATTACAGAAGTGTATATATATTCAGTAATTTACTGTATCTAAAATTTAATTGAAATTCTTAACATTTTCTTCCAGTGGGTGAGGTAGGTGAAGCTCTACAGATGAATCCAAACGACTTCAAAGAGAAGTACAATGAAGTAAAACCATCCAAATCTGACAGCCTAGTGTTTTCTTGTTTAGCCGGAGTGAGAAGCAAGAAGGCTTTGGACACAGCAGTATCTCTGGGCTTTAACAGGTACACAGGTGAAATATAAAAATGTACTCAAGAATGTGTATTTCATTCTTCCATATGTATTACATTTTTACTGGCATACCGAAAAATTTCTTATAATTACTGTTAGTAATAGCAGGATAGTGGCTGAGAGCCTCTATATTTTCATCCTTTTAAACAGTTTTAAAGTCTAGAGTAGTCCTTGAATCTCTAAATCTCTAAAGTTCCTATCAATCTCATGTTTATAAAGCAGGAGGAAACTTTTACAGCACTAACTTTGCTATGTTTTCAGTGTTCGACATTATGCTGGAGGATGGAATGAATGGGCGACCTATGAATTTTCAGAAAAGAAAAAAGGAAATTGAATTCTGGAATGCAAGCTGGCTCTTTCGTGTGTACATGCAGCCTAGGACAGTAGAATGAATAAAAGGATAATAATCTAGTCCTGGCATCACTGGTTAATGGGAAGGGGATTTTGTGTAAGTCAATTATTTGCTGAATCTTTTTCTTAACTGTAAACTGTAAATTGACAATGCCTTGTGTAGTTCCTTGAGGATTCAAATAATGTATGTAATTTACCATGGAAATATAAGGGTTGGGATTCTAGAAATTAATTTGTAAATAGTTTAGTGAACTAGTTTAGTTTAGTATAGTACAATAGTATTATCAAAGCCCAAGTTACTTGTCGTACCTACTTATAACGTATGACCATTTGTGTTAGCCTGGGTTCTATTCATTAAAGAGTCTATGAGCTAGACAAGTTTTTTTTTTAATGAGTAAAATATTTTAGTATGTTAATTTTCCCATTTTAGAAAATTCATAACATTTGTTTTCCTATTTTGATATACAGTACAAATATTTCTGATAGATACACCTTTTACCCATAATGAGTAGTTACTGCATATTGAATAATATAAAGCAGCTAGTAAGCATTTCTTGAACACCTTTTCTTGATTTAGATCCTATGCTAAATATTCCAGATTCTAAAAAGATAATAAAATAGATGTGATTCCTCTCCGAAGATGTTTGATTTCTAGCAGAGGTCTATAAAAGTTAAAAAAAAAAAAAAAAAAAAGCGCAGACTTTACCTTAAAAAACCAAGAATCTGAGCTCCAGAAATGTAGGTGAAATATAAATAAAGAAAATATATTAACACCATCCAAAGACTTATGGCAACGTTGTAATCAGCATGGTAGTGATATAATTTGCAACTTAATATGATCTATAAAGATAGAAATAATAGTGATTCCTTCTGTAGAGGGAAGACTAGCTGGAAAAAGCAAGGAGGGAAATTCCTAGGGTGATGGAAATGATTTATATATTGATTGAGGTGTTGGTACAGAGGTGATACATTTATCAAAACTCAGGGAACATTTGAAAACATACATTTTCTGTAATTATATCTCAATTAAAAATAATGAAAATATGAAAAAAATTTAAATGTAAATGACTCTCCCTAGCATTGAGTATATGCCTTTAGAATGTCAAACCAGTGCACTTTGTCAGTGCACTAGTGGTAAAATGACTTTGTGTTTTCTTCCATCTGTGTTTAGTTTCATTTATGTAGTCATTGAGATCATGGAAGGCCTAGGACTTGTTTTGTCCTCAATGATATTATTAAGCCACTGGAAAATCTGGGGTAGGAATAATATGACCACCTTGAACTTGTTTCTGATAATGTCAATCTAGTTTCTAGCAGCGCAAACTCCCTATAAGAACTAGAAGAGCGGGAAAATAAACACAAACATCCATACACACTGTTCAATGTTGGTTCATCCTCTACAGCCTTCCTTTTCCCTGGAATATAGCTCTTCAAATCCTCACTGTTTTAGTAGTTCCTCCATGCCTTTAAGTAAATTTTATTTATGGATTTACATAAACAAATATTACTGGGACAAATAAGGTGGGAAGATTTGAAGAGCCACAATTTCGGAGAGAAGGGAAGCTGTGGTTGAAGTATTGGGCCTATCAAGGAATAAGAATCTGGGTAAAGAGCCTGGGTAAATACACCAGACATTTAGTTGGAACCCTGGGAAACTATACCTTAGGAGTAAAGGTGAACCAGAAATTGACCAACCCTCATAAAAATGTAAGACCAGCTTTAAATCAACTGAATCCCTGAATGAATTAAGGTGATCTTAAGAGCCTACCAGAAGTAAATCCTCTCTTAGAGAAGACATCATTAGCTAGCTAGAGCAAGGGGCTGGCAACAATAAATTTTTTAGGTTTGTGGGCCATAAGGTCTTTGTTGCAACTGCTCAACTCTGCTACTGTAGCACAAAGCAACCATAGATAATACATAAAGGAATAAGTGTGGCAGTATCCCAACAAAACTATGGCCACTTAGGTTTGAATGTTGTATTTCACATGTTGTCAAATATTCTTTTCATTATTTTCAACTGTTTAAAAATATGGCAAACATTCGTAGCTCAAAGGCCAGGCAAAATTAGATGGCAGGTAAAGGCCCATGAGGCAGTTTATAGACCCCTGATACAGAGCCATAAATATTCTCTAGAGTGCTTCCTATTCAGTGTTCTGAATTCTATAAAATTTATTTAAAATAGTAAATAGGACCTCACAATTGAAAAATAAGAAAAAACAAAAATAAATTTTAGAAGACAATAAAAACAAATCTACATATAATCTACATGCTGGCATTTTCAGACTTTAAATTGTTTTTAATGTTATGTTTGAGAGAGACAGAGAGTGAGCGTGAGGAGGAGGGGCAGAGAGAGAGGGAGACACAGAATCCGAAGCAGGCTTGGGCTTTGAGCTGTCAGCATAGGGCCCGATGTGGGACTCGAACCCATGAACTGTGAGACCATGACCTGAGCTGAAGTCAGATGCTCAACTGACTGAGCCACCCAAGTGCCCCACAGACTTTCAAATAACTATGATTTATATTTTCAATAACATAAATGACAAAAATTATTAAAGTAATGGAAACTACAAAAAGTATCAAATAGAAATTCTAGAATTTAAGAATAACTGATATTAAAAACCCCATAGATGGGTGTAACAGATTAGACACAGGTGATGAGGATTAATAAAAATGAAAAAACATTAAAACAAGACAAAGAAGTGAATTCCTCATATTTTGGATACCTAAACAAAGATAAAGGACACAGGGAAGAATGTCTCCCTATGAGTGACTTAGGGAGTAAATGAATTATGATTCTAGTGTGATAAATTAATAAAATGTACAAAGTTAATTGAGCATATTACAACAAAGTCCATTACAAACCTTTCAGAAAGCCAAAAATATTCTAAAAGAAATGTAACCGTAGTACACTACAGAACACATTACATACATCGAGTATGAATTTAACAACAATTACACAATTAAGTTGGGAAGACAATGGGAGTAGAAGTCTTAATGTAGAACTGAGTTGGTAGGGAAGTGGAAGCTGGAGAATAGAGGGAGGTATGTGAGAAAGTGAAATCTTCATCTTCTATAGTAGGAAGTTAGTAGATAATTTTACTATTAGAAAAAAATATCAAAATAAAAAACTGGAAGGTAAAGTAGGAGGCAGTAAGGTAATTAAGAGCATGGGCCCTGGAACCCAGCTGCCCAGGTTTTAAGAATTAGAACCTGGGGCACCTGGCTGGCTCAGTAGGTTAAGCACCAGACGTTGGATCAGGTCATAATCTCATGGTTCCCGGGTTCAAACCTCACATCGGGCTCTCTGCTGTCAGCACAGAGCCCACTTCAGATCCTCTGCCCACCCCCTTCCCCACTTGTGTGCAGTCTCTCTCTCTCTCAAAAAAAAAGAAAAAAAGAAAAAGATTTAAAACCTAATCTGGGGTGCTTGGGCAGCTAGTCGGTTAAGCATCCAACTCTTGGTTTCAGCTCGTAGATTTGAGCCCTGCATCAGGTGCTGCGTTAACAGTGTGGGGCCTGCTTAGGATTCTCACACGTGTGCTCTCTCTCTCTCTCTCTCTCAAAATAAAGATTTTTAAAATTAAAAATAAAGGTACTTAACTTTCTGTTCCTGAGTTTTCTCATTTCTATAATAATTGTTCTGAGAATTAAATGACTTCAGAATGTAGGAACCTAAGAACATTCTTGACACATAAGTGCTCAATAAAAGCTCTAATTATAAGCTTGGTACTTGGAAATGTGGAAGTAACACAACAGCAAAGAAATAACTAAAAGTTGCTCTGGGAGGCAGGAATGCTTGAGCAGTAGGGAGAATGGTCAGGAGTCTAATATTGTCCTTGGGTTACAGCAGCACAGTCCAACAGAATTAAAGCCATTATGTGACTTATAATTGTCTTTCATTCTAAAAAGAGGTGAATTTAATGTTAATAGTGTTTTATTTGGTCCTATCATTTAAAATGTTAGATATTTTACATTCTTTTGTACTACGTATTGAATCTACCATGTACTTTTACATTTACAGCACATCTCAGTTCTGACTAGCCACATTTTCAGTGTAGCTAGTGGCTGTCACACTGGACAGTACAGACTGTTTGCTTTTTTAAACAATTCATATTCATCAATAGGTGATGTCACAGAAAGCAACAATCAGCCATGATCTGCTCTCTGTGGAAGACACCTGTAAAAGTAGTCTACTCCCTCAAAAAAAATTTTTTTTGAACTTGATCAAGCCTTTACATTCAATTATCAATTTATAGAAAACACAGAAAAAGGAGCATGTTAAAGTGGCACTTCAAAGATACATTTAGTAAGATCCATATGGTGGGCAACTCTCAGAAGACAACCAAATCAAAAAGGGGAATTTAGAAAATAAGGGGGCACCTGGGTGGCTCAGTCGGTTAAGCATGACTTCGGCTTAAGTCGTGATCTTGTGGCTGGCAAGTTCGAGCCCCACGTCAGGCTCTGTACTGACAGCTAGCCCAGAGCCTGGAGCCTGTTTCAGATTCTGTGTCTCCCTCTCTCTCTCTGACCCTCCCCTGCTTATGCGGTCTCTCTCTCAGAAATAAATAAAACATTTAAAAAAATATAAAAATAAGACAGAAGAAGAATCCATGAATTTTAAAAGGTTTAAAGGATTTATCAATCAATTGCAATGTCTGGTCCTAATCCTGACTAGAATTATTTATTTCTCATGATATTTATAACTGAAAATATGAACAATGAATATTTTGGTAGTACATTATTTTAACTAATTCTTTAGGTATAATCTTTAAGAGCCATTATCTTTAGGAATACACATGAAATAATAATAGGTGAAATTTGGTATCTTGCATTTGCTTCAAAATAATATGCATATTGTGGGAAGTTGATGCGAATTTAGAGGAAATGAAATTGGCCATGAAATGGTCATTGTTGAAACTGTGTAATAAATAGATGGAGGTTCATTAGAATTTACTTTTGTATATGTTGCTTTAAACGTTCTATAATAAGAGGGTGAAAACAAAACTGCAAGTCATATGTAATAACTTTCAAAATATAAATTCTAAAAGAATACAGGTAGGCTTAAAAAAATTAGGGTCAAGTCAGCGGTTGTGATATGTAATCACTGTGCTCTTCCAACCCAAACCCAACCTTAATTCCTTCAGACCTGAGGAGAGCATTTTTCCTTATTTCTTATTCTGCCCATAAGCCTACAAGACCTACATTTATCATTGGTGCTGACTTTATACACCATCTCCCTTTCCAACTTATCTGATCCTCTCCACAAGGAAGCAAACTCTATAGTCTGTTATAAGCCATCTGAATTACCCACCTGACAAACTACAGAAGACTTTAATACGTGTCTAAAGGAAGGACTCTCAGAAAACATTAAGCAGATTCAAAAAGATAAATTCAAGACATGAGTCAATATAACTGGAGAACAGTACTTTTATTCTTGAAGTTTTATACTAGGAAGTCAACATTTAATTTATTAATCCATTGTTCACAACTGATGTATAAAAAAACTCAATCCTTAAATTGTACATCAATATCCTATGACTTCAAATTTCATCGCTCTCCTTCAAATCTGAAGAAAATGATTAAGTTCCAAGACAGCACAGTCCCACTGACATAACAATTAGTCCAAGTCCTACACTCATGAGAATTAAGAATAGTCAGTATCAAACTGGCCTGAGACCTGATTGTGTTCCTGGCTCAGGATACCTGTAGTAAATTTGTAAATCCACACTACAACACAAAAATAAACTAGGGAGTGTATGTCATATAAAAATTTTTCTCAGTAGAGTAAAAATTAACATTAAAATGTTACCAAATTTCAACCATATTATGGTGTTTTATCCAATTAGCTTCAAAATGCCTCATTAACTGTGAATCAAATGCAAATAAGGTCATATATGATTTTTTTTTAAGTTTGCCCAGCATTTCAAAATGGTTATGGAATTAATATAACCTTTAAAATGTCAAAGTATGCTATACATATTGCACTTTTCTGCTAGGCTGGGCTAGTATCTTCCATGGCAAGATACTAAAACTACTGAATAAAATACACTTTTAAATCAATAGGTACTTGATTAATTTCCCTGAAATTATCAATATCGTTACCAAAATCTTCCAGGATTTTGTAAGATTTGATTCCTTAAATACAGTTTTAAAGTTTAACTTAAGGAGGGAAAAAAACCCTCATATATTTGACTTTTTATGTCCTTGTTTTGGTCCAATGACCAAAGAGAATTTTAAACAAATTATGCTTTGTGTTTCCTGGCTTAATAAAAAGCTATAATTTTTATTATCCAAATTAAGAAAAATTACACTAATTAAAAGCTATTAATTTTGAAACGTCTATGTATGTATGTCTGTAGGTCCCCTTAGAACCTTTCCAAACTTTTATAATCAAGAGATTTAAATCAATTATATACTAGAATCAAATTAGGTAAGGAAAAACTTATTTTGCAAAAATAAAATCACTTCCCAATACGCTTGATAGAAACAAGCTATTCATTTTCATTTGTGTTCCACTGAAGACATAACTGAAATCTGTCCAATGGTTTATTTCCAACTGGTCCACTACGGAATTCTTCGGAATGTTTTAAGATTGGCTGTAGCTAGAGTTCTGACTTCCATTTGGACCCTGCTCTCCTTCACTGTTCAAGTGGGGAAGAAAAGATTTTATACCAATTAAAAGACTCATTTTCAACACCCTGATAAGCCAACTAATTTTTAAAGCTAGTTACTCTATGGTACAACTCTACAAAGAAAGACATTCCTGATTTTAAGACACAGATATGGAAAATTAAGATACAGAAGACTAACATTTGGTTTTATGTTTTTATTCTTCCATAATTTGGTGTCCTCACATATTACAAGCATTCTGGAAGTTAGTGTCCATATACATTCAAAAAACTTAAATAAGGGTATGGGATTTCATTGTCATTACAGGTATCACTCAACATAGAGACCAGAGCTTTTTCTGAACAAATTTCCTGTAAAATTAAATCTTACATATAGAATCTTATTCCTGCCAAATATGAAAATGAAGTGTTCTTCCCAAAAAATAACTGACCAAAGGTGTAATAAAAATCACATGTAAATACAGCAAACTTTTATTTATAAGTCAGAAAAGAAAAATGGCAATTTCCTGGAAAATGCTGAATACTTAAAAATAACTAAAACTGAAAATACCAGTAACTGTGGCAATAGGATTATTGCCTTATCTTGTCCATCATCATCTTGCAGCTTCAGGCCCTGCCACTAGTGGAGAATCACTCAGGGAATTTCTGCAAAAAATGCATCCAAAGGTAGCTGTTTGAATGAATGCCTTAAACAGCTCCTTGTGTAAGTATTAATTTTTTCCAATTGGTAACATTAACTTATCAGATCTATAAATCTATCTTGATACATTCTATAACTTAATTATTTTTCTTGATAAATGATTAAGATGGGTAGCATTGTTTTATTTCCCTTCTCACCTTTTATCCTACTCTAAATGATCTGATGTGAGAGCTGAGAACCAGTGAATTAAATGAATAGATCCTATTAAAAAAAAAACAACAATAAAAAAAGAAAAACCCCTCTTCGCACATTGTTTCATATTTAGCAAAATTATGGTACTATGTGCCATAGTTCTTCAAGTCCCTCAAATGCCAAAATTCTTTATTTATCTTTACAATATCAGATCACTACTGAAATTTATTAAACAGGATAATAACCAACAGCGGGGGCGGGGGGAAGGCAGAATCAAAATGACATGAGATACTACAAAATTCATTATTCCTGAATTTCAGATGAACTAGTTCTGTTTAAATTTATGTGCAGTATATAGCAATATGTTGAGGGATACCTGTAAGAGACCCGCCATTGCATTAGGAAGTTAACAGATGATCAGATTAGTGTATTTTTTAAATGAGATATTGTCAGTCTATCAAGTCAGATTAAAATAAAGTTATATGCATTATGAAGTTTTGGAAGAAATTTCATGAAAACAATACAACATAATCTATGGAAAAATATGAAAATATGTATGAAATATATAATGAAATGAAATCCATAATTAAAGTCTACAAAGTACCTGTTTGGAGGAGGTTTTGGTTTCGGCATCTTACTAAGAATAGTTGCCATCTCTTTTCTCTCATCAAAATTCTTCCACTGCTCATACAGTTTTAAAATCACCCTGATTATTTCCAAAATCTAAAAGGAAATATTTGAAAAGTTCTCAGTGCCAATATCAAGCAACATTGACTATATAAAGAACACATATCCTGAGAAAATAGTGAAAAGATAGTCTCTGTCCTTAAGTATTCAGGTTAGATTACACAATCCTGATAAATGTGAAAGCAGTATTCTTACCACATTGCTCTGTAGGCTTCTCCTACAACCCTTTCATCTTTTAAATGGCATACCTAGTCCATCCTTCTGCATCTCTGCAGTTGGTTTCCTTCTATTTGCTAATATCTTAAACCAAAACAAAACAGTGAGGTACTGGGAATAGAGGTCTAAATCATGAAAGAGTGTGCCACCAGAGTACATTCCTCTAATACCAATGTTTCACACAAGTCAGTGGCAGCTGGTGCACCAACGTCATTGTTTTGTTTTTCCATTAATTACATATGCATTAAGGTGCTCAAAAACTGACAGCTATACAATCCATCATATCCAGTTTCTCAATTTGCCCTTTCTTTCTCATCTGAGTAGACCTCACCTCACCTTGGATTGATCTAATGCTATCAACAATGCAGCAGAAAAGGTAGAAAAAGGGGCAAAACCCACTTTGTCAGGAGGCAGGCTGTGTTACATAAGTTATAGTAGTAGAATTTAGTGGTCTGTAGGTAGCTTTTAAAATAATCCTAGAAACAAGAGGTAGCTTTGCAACTAAGAAAACCAAAAGATTAAGCTTAAAAGACAAATATAACCTAATCAGTCAACATCAATTCTTCTCACCAAACATGTTTAATATTTTTACCAAAAATCTTTTTAGCCTGGTGGACAGCATAAGATTTTAGACTCATGTTAAGTAAATAATCATATTAACTTTAAGATGTTCAAGGTTATATTCAAGTAAGGGAATTTTAAAGACTACCTTCTCCATATCCACAGAAAGTTCAGCAAACCACTGTCTGGCATCTTTCTGCTGTACAACACAGGCTACATGTAGACAAGCTGGAGAGAAAATGAGAGAAAGGCCCATGTTTAACTGCAAATGTGGAATATAGGGACTTATAGCTAAAGATAAGATTTTTCACTTAAAATTTTCATCTGCATTTTCCAATATTCTTTTTTAAAATGGCATAAATCCATCTAATGCTTACCAGTGACCACCCATCAATTTAATGTAATACAAACAGAAAAAAGTTACTAGACTATATTAAGTTTCTTGATATAGTTCTCCTGCTCCTCACTGTGTGCCAGCCATGGTAATCTTGTTCTGTGAGTCAGGGTGTGTTAGGAAAAAATCCAATGAGGAAACTAGAGCAGGGAAATGATCCCTCAACAGTGGTGAGTGGTAAAAATACACCCAAAGTCAGTTTGAGACATTAAAGGAAAAAAATAAAACAGTAATATGCTGATAAATTTCAAAATAAAAAATTATGTTTTGATATTTCAATTAAAAGCAGTGTTGTCTCTGTTTTAAATTATTAGCATATGATCAAGTCAGATGAACACCAGTCACCCAGGTACAGAATTCAGTGTTATAATCAAATAGAGCTTAGAAAAAAACGTAACGTATTGTATACAATATAATTACAGTAGACCTTTGAACAACATGGAGCTTAAGGTTGCCAACCCTCCCTCCAATTAAAAAAATCTGCATGAAGGGGCACCTGGATGGCTCAGTCAGTTGAGCATTCGACTTTGGTTTAGGTCATGATCTCATGGTTTGGGAGTTCAAGCCGCATATCAGGCTTGCTGCTACCAACTTGTCAGTGCAGAGCCCACTTAGGATCCTCTGTCCCCCTCTCACCACCCCTCCCCTGCTTGTGTTCTCCTGAAAATAAATAAATAGTTTTTAAAAAATCACATGTAACTTTTGACTTCCCTAAAACTAAACTACTAATAACTTATTGACTGAAAGCCTTACTGCTAGTTGATTAACACATGTATATTATATACTTTGTTCTTAAATAAAGTGAGCTATAGAAAAAATATTAGACAGTCATAAGGGAAATACATTTATAGTACTATAAAAAAACGTTTGTATAAGTAGACATACACAATTCAAATCCATGTTGTCTAAGGGTCAACTACACATACACATTATATACAACATAGCCTAACAAAGAGACTAAAAGAGCCCAAGACAACAATCTACATCACAATTTCCCCTAATATAATTCCTACCAGCAGCCTGGCTACCCTGAGACCACACCAGCTTCTTGAGCTATATTCCCTGGTTTAGTTACCCATATAATTTTGCTAAGGATGTCATTTTAGGGAATTGGCAACTCAAATGTAAACGGACATAGTGGTTGCCCTAAATCAAATGAAGCTATAAAGTAGGGTGTAGGTCCTGGAGGGATTAAGACACCAAAGAATCGAATATAGTAACCGGTAATTGAAATACAGTAGAAAGTAGCATAACAGAGCATACATATCAGAACCAGGGAAGACATCCTAAACCCAGACTGAGGTGATATAGGGAGTTTGAGAATGGGGAGGGTGTCACTAAAGAGGTACTATCTGAGCCAAGTCTTAAAAAAAAAAAAAGAAGGTTACAGTGGGAGCAGAGAATGGTATGTATCGGTTTTAAAAAGCTGTGTATTTTATCCAGAAATTGGGAGGAGCACTGAAAGATTTTAAAAAGCTCTTCCTGGGGCACCCAGGTGGCTCAGTTAGTTAGGCGTCCAACTTGGGCTCAGGTCATGCTCTCATGGTTCATGGGTTCAAGCCCTGCATTGGGCTCTGTGCTGACAGCTAGCTCAGAGCCTGGAGCCTGCTTCGGATTCTGTGTCTCCCTCTCTCTCTGACCCTCCCCTGCTTATGCTGTCTCTCTCTCTCTCTCTCTCTCAGAAATAAATAAAACATCAAAAAAAAAAATAAGTAAATGTCTGATTGGCTCAGGCCATGATCTCATGGTTCACAAGTTCAAGACCCGCATCGGGCTCTGTGCTGACAGCTCAGAGCCTGGAGACTGCTTCGGATTCTGTGTCTTCCTCCCTCTCGGCTCCACCCTCACTCATGTTCTGTCTCTCTCTCAAAAATTAAAATAAAAAAAAACATTTTTTTTAAAGTTTTAAAAATAAAATAATAAAATAAAAAGCTCTTCCTAGCTCAGGGTTTCTCAACCTTGGCACTACTGGCACTGTGGGCTGGACACTTGAGACTGCCATGTACTTAGTAGGATGCTTATTAGCAGCATCTCTGGCTTCTACCTACTAGATGCCAGTGGTATCCCACTCCACCTGTAATAACCAAAACCATCTCCAAACATTGCCATACATCCCCTGAGGAGTAAAATCATCTCTGGTTGAGAACCACCAACCTAGCTCAACTGCAGAAGACTGGCTCTCTGAGAAGAGGGATGCTTAGATGCTAATTAACCAGTAAGGAGACTGCTGTGGTCACCTAGACAGAAATGAGAAGATGGCTATGAGATTACCAAAGGAACAACTGAGAGGAAGGTACAATAGGTATTGGTTACCAACTAGATGTAGTATTGAGGGAGATGAAAGAGTCTAACTGCCAGGTTTCCAATTAAGGTACCTAACTAGTGCTATCTACCAAGCTAGGCAAAGACATTAAAAGGAACATCTTCTTAGATAAAGTGATGGGTTCAGTCCTGGTCATGAGGTGCCACTGAGACATCACGTGGAGCTCCCTAAAAGGTAGAGTGGATATAAAGAACTGCTTAGGAGCAAGACCTTGGTTAAATAAGGAAATTTAAATGTTTCAACCCATAAGAAATAGTAGAAACCAGGGGCCCAGTGAGATTCCTCAGGAAGAACAAAGATGGCAGGGATGCAAAGATGTAGGGCATGGCCTGCTATTCCTTGCTTCTTACCCATGCATTCCTTCCCACTGAACCCAGATGCCACTGTAGAATCCTTCCAAATACAATGCTGTCAGAGAGCCTCCAGGCCACAATAATATAGTAACCTATTTGCCACCCCCAATGTAAGAAAGCTGAGAAATATTAGCACTCAAGGAATAACCAAAAAAAGAGAAACTAATGAAAGTAAGGTGGTGAAGGAATGAGGGGAAAAAAATCAAGACGACAGAATCATGGAAATCAATAGGAAAAAGAAAGGGAAAAGAAACTAAAAACTGCTTAATATATGGCAGGCATTATTGGTTTTCTACAAGATACCTCATTTAGTTCTTGCACAATTCTGCATGCAGTTAGTATCCTCAACATTTTGCAATTAAAGAAACAAACTCAGAAAGGTGAAATACTCTTCCTACAATTGTAAAGCAAGCAAAGTTTAAACTTAGGACTATATAACTCCAAAGATTGTGTTCTAACCCATTACACTGCCTTCCCAGATAAATAAAATGGTAGCTAACTTCTCCTTCCAGCAAAGCATTGACTACAGAGCTCTTTTACTGAAACTCTGAGGTGTTAATTGGGCTTAGAAAATAAAAGACAGTCCCAATTATTCTATGTAAGTCATAAGTAATATTGGCAGGTTTAATTCTTCCTAAACAAACAAAAATGTTCTATTCAGACACTGGTCAAAATTATTTTAAATGATTACAAAAATCTTACTTAAAGAGAGGGACAATAATCCTGATTTGTGAAAGTTGCATTTCATATTATTGAAAGTTCACATGCAAGGATCAGTCTATTACTTCATGAAACATAAGAACATAAAGTATAATAGGGTGAAATTTCTTTTGAGATGACCTAAACAGGCTTATAACAATTTAACTAATAAAGGTATACCATGCTTATTACATACCTAAAGCTATCATGAAAGGAGGATACAGTAGGCAAAGATCCGTTCTGTAGGTATCATTCACTATCCTCCTATAGAAATGTAAATCATATTATTACTGAAATCAGAACTACCTTATATGATTGTACATCTCCCCCCAGAGAGGATCAGATTTCCCATCTTTGTACATTTTTATTTCTTTAATATTACTAAAGTACAAATATAAAAGTGAAAATATCAAGGGGAAAAGACAGATATATGAAAATGACAATAAGTGTATTTTAATGAATAAAATTACAGCTAAATACATTTTAAAACTTAAAACCTTACAATGAATTACAATATAAAGATTTTTCTAATTTTTCAAAAATTAGAAAATCAGAGAGGAAACCAGAAATTATGTCATTAACTAATATGTATGTTGAATACCAATAAAAAGTATTCTATTTGAAAGATAACATGTCTTAATTTTATATAGTCTGTTTTTCATAAGAATCAAATTTTAATGGAAATATTCATCAAATAAAGACCCTTACAAACTTAGCATTTATATCAATATGCTTAATTAAAATTCAACAAGCAGATTATTTTGCTCAATATACAATATCTTGGGGCACCAGTTTAATTACTTTAAAAATATTACTAAACTTCATATTCAGTTGTCAACCTTCCTAGCTAATAACACATTACACTATGAATAACTTCTGTTCTAATTACCATGCAAGGGGAAGCAACATGTCTTCTTGGCCCATGTCCTGCACATACTGGAGCAAAGGTCTATAAGGATGATACACTATCAAGCAACAATCCTAGAAACAGTTTAAAAAATGTGTATGTATAAAAACAGATATATTACAACACAAAAACTTGTCATTACCCAACTGATTTGTAATTGTGTATTTCAAAATGTATTTCTCTAACTCATGCTTGCTTCCCTCTTATTCTGTTAAGCAAGCAGTATGGCAGCCCTAAACTCTACTGTAATAGTGAAGGCAGTGCTCTCTCTGGAATATACCTTGGTAAATCGGTTGGCAGTCAGTCAGCATCCATTCCCTTAGAGACTCAAAGTGTCACATCTGCAACACACTGAAACCTCTTATTAGCCTATAAATCCATAATTCCCAACTGGAGGAGCAGAATTCTGCCAAAGACATAATCTATCTTTAAATAACACCACACACATACACAAATTGTGCAAATAATTTACAGTGGCTTAATGTCCTGACTGGTTTGCTTGTAATCTTTTTATTATAGATACTATAGAACAGAAAAATTTTTTCCATCCTAAGTGGGCTATACAAATTATTTTACAGGCTTCTGAGAGGATATGATATAGGTGATGATGCTACTAGGTACTATGATTTCACCATTATGTATCACTTGGATGGTTTTTAAATGCACCTCCCTACAAATCATTTCTTTAAATAATTTCTGACTTCACTAAATTTTGAAATTACGTTCAAATTTAATCCTCTATTAATCACAAGGAAGTAATATACTTACCATTAGTTCTAAAAGATAGAATTCACATTCTAATATCTGTTTTAAAAAGAAAAATATTATAAATGTCAATGTGTAATAAATTAGTCTACTTAGTCTAACAATTTATACATTATAGTAATACCACAAATTTTTACTAAAAATTTTTTAAATGAAGCTTATATGAAAACAAACATATGCAACAAAATTACTTTTTTACTATTCTACAATGCATGCAATTATGATTATATCCTTATAAGGAAAAGCCAGCTTCATATAAGTGTATCTATTTTTTTAATTTAAAATATCCTGTATAAACTTCAGATTTTCCAGTATACTTTCCACAAATACAAAATGCAAAAATGCAATTATCTCCACTTCAGTGTTACTTAATATGTTACAAATCAATAAAAGGAAAGAATACTGAAAATGAAACCAAAAAAATCTACACAGAATGAAGACAGAAAAAGAACATGCCTCTTACAAATGTTAATAGAAATTGATCTTCTAAAGTTTAAAATATGGTTTTCCTACTGCTTCATTATAGTAGTTCTCAGCCCTAGCTACACAGTAGTATCACCTGAGAGCTTTAAAAACTACCAGTCCTCAGGCCTCAAACCTGAAAATTCTGTTTTAGTTGGTCTCTGGAGAGGCCCTGATATCAGCATTATGAAAAAGTACCCAAAGGGATTTAATGAGCATCCAGGGTTGATAATCACTGCTATTGCGTACTTTTCTTTTTAAAGGTAGAAGTTATTTAGCTTTAATTTTAGAATTAAAGTTTATATACTTGTAGTATTTGAAACTGTCATTTACAGGAAACTACTTAGTTTATTCTAACATAAAATGAGTTTATTCTAACATAAAATGAAGTTAGTTTATATACAGCTTTGACAAGTAGTTTTATTTTATACAATATACTTACATGGTTCATCCTATAAGGAAATTCCTTTGGAAAGGCATATGAAAATCTAGTTTTTACTGCAGAAAACAAAAAATGACTTAGAAAATGAAAGAGTGAATTACACCAGTATTTCTTTAACACAGTGTAGAATATTAGAGGAAGGGCTAAATCATTTTTAGTAAGAACATTAAGCATCTTAGAGATGCTTAAGAACCCAGATATTTGTTTTGTTTTCAGGCAAGGGGAAAGAACTAAGTGACAGGAAGCCCCCAGCCCCCATTTATATTACAATTAGAGAGCTTCAATTTATATACTCTCCCCTTCCCCTGCACATGCTCTCTCTTTCAAAAATAAACATTAAAAAAAATTTTTTAATCATTTCAGCTCTAGAATATTGTTCTATTTTTTAGTGATTTAGCTTAGAAGGGATACAAGTTGCATGTGTTCAAATATATATGTATATATTTCTAAATTCACGTAAAAATTAAAAGGATATTAACAACCAAAGAATGTTAATAGTGGCCATCTGATTTTTATTAAGAAGTTTTATTAATCCGTACTGTCTGTAATAGATACTTCTTTATCAAAAGATATATTTTAATAAAACTATAAATATATGTTCAAAGTTCTCTAGGACTTTTTCATACCACACACAACTACACACATAAACAGTTACAACTCTCTGTTACTAAGAAAGTACAAATGAAGAAACTATTTACTATCAATCCTCTATCTCCTCAAAATGATATGAATGTACACATTTAAGTACTACTATTTGAGAAAATTGTATTCAAGTCATCATGATGCAACATTTCATTAAATCAAGTGATTACTGACAGGCTCTAGAAGATCTGTTCTGTGATCCCTTCCACTTGTACAAAGCCCAAAACCTCACAGAGATTAAATTCTTTTTTTCGTTTATTCTATGTACTTTATTTTCAAAAAGTTTTATTTTGTAAACTGGGTATCCTAACTAATTTAGATAGGTAACATCTGCCAAGATTTGAAACCTAAACCATTTAAAATTGATATTGGGAAATTTATACTTAAGCTTTCCTTTTCTTTCTCCTTTATTTGAAAACATACCTATTATTAAGGTTTCTGAGTTTTACAAATTCTTCTGATGTAAATAAGATGCAAAGCATACAAATAAAGCAGGTATTTACATAATGGTAACTAATCAACAAGGTAAAATTATCTCTGTACATTAAATAAATCTACATCCCTAACTCCTAGATCTTGACACCTAACTTACTAAGATCTACCTGATACTGTCAACCTCTCTTCTACTCCATGATAAAATTTCTCTACATTTTGATTTTCGATGTCCTAATCCTTCTCTAACTTAGAAGAAAATGCACCCCTCCTTTCTACTGCCACCTCTACCACTTGCAAGTTTGCTTTTCGTCTACGAATGGACAGTTCATACTTTTTGTTTTGCACCTTTAACCATTCCTCTTCCAATAATCTATCCTATCACTTACTAATATGCTCAAATTTCTCTTAAAAACAAAAGTACATACAACATTTACCAAATTATATTCCTTTGTTTTCTTAAAGTAGACTATTTTTTGGAACATTTTTATGTTTATAGAACTGAAAAGATAATAGAGAGTTACCATATAATCCATGTTACAGGCTGAATATTTGTGCCCCATCAAATTCATATGTTGAAGCCCTAACCCCTGTGTGATGGTGTTTGGAGGTGGCATTTTTAGGGAGTTAATTATGTTTAGATGAGGTCATGAAGCCAGGGTCCCCATGAAAAGATTAGTATTTTTTTGGATTAGCATTCTTATGAGAGGAACAGCAACCTATCTCTACCATGTGTGAGAGAAGGCAGCTGTCTGCTTGCCAGGAAACAAATGGCTGATCAAGGAAGTGATCAAGGCAGACACTCTGTTCCATCTTGGACTTCCAAGTTTCCCAAACTGTGAGAAACAAACACCTATTGCTTAAGTCACCCAATCTATGCTATTTTGTTAGAGCAGCTCGAGCAGCCTAAGACAATCGCTCACCCAGTTTCCCTTGTTATTAATATTTTATATTAGTATGGTATAGTATTATAAATAGTGAATCAAAAGATAATTATTAACTGAAGTCCATAGTTTATTCAGATCTCCTTAGTTTTTTTCCTAATGTCCTTCTTTCTGTTCCAGGCTCTCATGTAGGAGACAACTTTATATTTACTTGTCATGTCTCCTTAGATTCCACCTGGCTGTGGCAGTTTGCCATACTTCCCATGTTTTGATGACTTTAGCAGAGTTTGAGAGTACTGGGGGGGGGGGGGTTAAGTATTATTTTGTTGCTTGACCCTCTACTGGAATTTGTCTGATGTTTATTCAACGTTTAAAGTGGTATGGTGGGATTTTGGAAGGAAGGACCAGAAAGGTAAGGTGCCATTTCATTGTATCACATCAAAGGGACACAATCCTAGTGATTTATCACTGTTAACACTGACCTCACTCACCTGGTGAAGGTGGTGTTTGTTGGGTTTTTCTTATTTCTCCCTGCCCTTTTCATAACGTACACATTCGAAGGAAGTCACTATCAGGGTGCCTGGGTGGCTCAGTCAGTTACACGTCCTATTCCTGATCTCAGCTCAGGTCATGATCTCACAGTTTTGTGAGAGGTTCATGAGATTGAGTCCCATGACAGGCTCTGCACTGATGGCACAGAGCCTGCTTGGGATTCTCTCTACCTCTCTCTGCCCCTTCCCCACACCCACATGCTTGCTCTCTCTCTCAAAATATATTTAAAAACTTAAAAAAAAAAAAAAAGGCCTAACCAACACCTAACAAATGAAAATTTATGCTTTCCCTATTTGACAGTATCGCTAGGTACATAAATTATATGGAATTCTTCTATATTAGAGATTTGTCTCTTCTCTCATTTATCCACTTATTTATATCAGTATAGACCCACAGATATTTATTTTATACCTTGGGTTATAATTCAATACTACTTTTTTTTCTTGCACAAATTCTTCTAGCTTTTCAAATCCACTGAGAGCTCTTTCAGTTGGGTTCTGTATCCCTCTGACATATCCCCGTTAAGGTAGGTTTTGTTCTGTTTTTTTGCACTTCCTTATTTACTGGCACTATAAGATGCTCCAGGTCTATCTTTTTTGTTTCCTGCCCCAGTCATTTCTCCTAGGAGCCCTAGGTCCCTTTAGTGGAGAACAGTATTAGAAACAAAGAACTGGGCACTAGGTGAACTCATTGCAACTGAGATGTCATTGCTTATAGACTCTCTTAACTGACAAAGCCCTCCCCCAACACACAAGTCCACATATCTAAAAATATTTATGTTACAGTAAACATGAGTTCATACTGAGATCTCTAACTCCAACTGATCACTCCTTGACATGGGTCATTCTGATCTCCTCTTTGTTTATTTGTATATTCCCACTCCCCCAATGAGAAACCTCACCTCGCTCTAAATACCTGCCATCCGTTTACCACGGATGTATCTATTTAGTGGAATTGTTCAATTCCAGATACAAGTAAAGCAGTATCAGAATTGTTAACTTGTACCCACCTTAAGTATCAAATCTATCAACTAGAGTACAGTGCTTACATGCAGTTCCTTTTGCCTTTAGTCTTACAGACTATGCTTCCCCCCAAAGTTACTGAGGTCAGCATCTTCCCACACCCCCTTCCCTGAGGTTGTTTCATGTGTCTGTAATATAGTCAGAGTCTCCTTTTCTCAGCACCAACTTGCTTCTTAATTCTTTGCAAGCTGGTGTCAACCCCCACCCCATAATGTCTAATGACAGCTACATTCTCTCTCAAAGATCACAAACCCAAAGGTCTGGTTCCAAAGGTCTGGATTTTTTCTTTGGTATACAACTTCCATGCAGCACAAGACACTTTATAGCTCTATCTCTTTCTTAAAATTTATCAAGTTCCAAATTTCTATCATTGGCCTCACATTCCTAAAATGTTCTACTGATACATTTACACTTAGAAGATCCAAGATTAAAGTTTTTAACTTTTTTCAGAACCCACTTATTCTCCTCTTCTGGTAGCACCTTCACCTTCCCAATGTCCAGGCATAACACCTCATCTTTTTTTTTTTTTCTTTTAACTTTATTTAGAGAGAGAGAGGGACTGAGAACAGGCAAGTGGGGAAGCGGCAGAGACAGAGGGAGAGGGAGGGAAAGAGAGAGAGAGAATCACAAGCAGGCTCTGTGCTGTCAGCTCGGAGCCCAATTCGGGACTTGATCTCCCCAATCACAAGATTATGACCTGAGGCGAAATCAAGAGTTAGACACTTAACCAACTGAGCCACCCAGGAGTCCTTCAAAAGTCATTTTTGAATCTTCTTAAATCCTTTTCAAAAGTCCTGCTGACTCTAATGCAAATCTAGCTTGCTTAGTCTCCTTGATGGGGGCCAAAACATCGTTAAACAAAAATTTTTTTTTAATATTTATTTTTGAGAGAGAGAGAGAGTGCAGACGCACGAGAGCAAGACTAGGGCAGGGACAGAGAGAGAAGGGGACAGAGGATCTGAAGTGAGCTCTGCACTGATGGCTCAAACTCACGAGATGATGTGAGACAATGATCTGAGCTCAAGTCGGACACTTAACTGACTAAGCCACCTAGGCACCCCCAAAACATCGTTTTAAGCCTTCACTACTACTTACCTGGATCACTTCAATAGCTTCAAAGTAATTTTTTTCTACTTTAATCTTGTTAGCTTTTATGTCTCACAGCACCCTGTGGTGACAGCACTCACTACAGTTTGTAGGTTTATACATATTTTAGAAGGATTTTTTTAGTTGTTTAAAATTGTGGTAAAATACACATTGCATAAAATTTACCACATAGGCCATTTTAAAGTATGCAATTCAGAAATATTAGATACATTCACAATGTTGTGCAACCATCACCACAATCCATCTCTAGAACTCTTGCATCTTGCAAAACTGAAAAACTCCATACGCATTCAACAATAATTCCTCACTTCCCTCTCCCTCCAGCCCCTAAAACAGCTACGATTCTACTTTCTATTTCTATTAATTTGATTATTCATAATAGCAAATGGAATCATACAGTATTTATCTTTTTGTGACAGGCCTATTTTCCTTATCACAATGTCCTCAAGGTTCATCCATGTTTGTTTGTTTGTTTGTTTAAGTTTTTGTTTTTAAGTAATCTCTACACCAAACATGGGGCTCGAACTTAAAACCCTGAGATCAAGAGTCACATGTTCTTTTTTTTTTTTTTTAATGTTTTATTTATTTCTAGGAGAGAGAGAGAGAGAGACAGCGTGAGCAGGGTAGGGTCAGAGAGAGAGGGAGTCACAGACTGAAACAGGCTCCAGGCTCTGAGCTGGCAGTCAGCACAGAGCCCGACGCGAGGCTCGAACCCACGAACCGCGAGATCATGACCTAAGCGAAAGTCGGACGCTTAATCGACTAAGCCACCCAGGCGCCCCAAGAGTCACATGTTCTACCTACTGAGTCAGCCAAGTGCGCCAAGGCTCTTTCATGTTGTAACATGTGGAAAATCTGACTACTTCAACTCACATTCTCCTCCAATTCATCTTACAGTATTTTGCTGGATTCACCTTCCTAACAATTCTGACATCATCCTCATGTTGAGAAATAAAGCCTTCAATTTTACCTTCTGTTGATAGTATCACCATCAGTGTGATATATCTGGCATATTAACTTCTATGGCAAAATTGATTATTACTCTTCTGCCCTTAAGAGTAAAATGTGACACGGAAAAGATTGAATTGGATTATGACATTCATCTTAGAAAAGGGAATGACACAAAAATATGAAAATTAGTCTGGGTCAAAAACCTAAAAACACAAAAACCCTTCTGTTAGAGTGCAGAAGTAAAAAAAAAATCTGTATTATCTTTTATTAGGCAATGTCTTTGTGCTTAACATATGAAGATAGAGCATAACATACTACTAATACCTTATGTACAATATTTTAAAATCACTGGTCTACAGTGTTATTTCCTTTAATGTTGTGACTCAGAGGCAGCCAAACCCCATCTTTTTAGAAAAAGAACTAAGGCCAAAAGATAAAGCAATTTGCTCAAGGTTATATAGCCGCTGTTTAGACAGAACTGGGGCTGGGCTACTACAGTCAGAATTTTTTTTCCTGTACCATGTTTTTCAAGATGGAGGAAAAATAAATAATTCCCATCAAACACATACACTACAATTACAGAAAGAGTTTACTTCACCCACAAGAATGAGACAATGGCTAGTCACTACACAGCAATAAAATATAACAAAACTGGGAAATAAGTTTTTTTCTTTACCCTTATTATTTGAAGAGTCATTGAGTTGATGTTTTTGGATCAATAGTTACTATCCATTTTTAGTACTAAATGTAATATCTTAGAAATAATACTGTAGATAGTTTTTAAAATGTTTGTATTTTTACTTTATTTTTAGCCAAATATACTAGCCATAAATGTGACTGCAGGAGATTTAACAAATCCAACCAATCTCTCATAGGTCTCATAAACTGAAAAACACTTCTGTTCTATGGAGCTTTTTAAAAGAACTACATCCTTAAAGCAGGATAGGGGAGCCTGGGTGGCTCAGTCAGTTAAGCATCTGACTTCAGTTCAGGTCATGATCTCACGGTTTGTGGGTTCGAGCCTTGCGTTGGGCTCTGTGCTGACAGCTCAGAGCCTGGAGCCTGCTTCAGATTCTGTGTCTCCCTCTCTCTCTGACCCTCCCCTATTCATGCTCTGTTTCTCTCTGTCTCAATAATAAATGATCAAAAAAAAAAAAAAGGATATACTTTTTTCACTTACACACAGAAGTAGCAGCAGCAATCAATCTTGTATTTGAAACTACTCCAAATTCCTAGAGAAAGAAAAGTGGATGAAATCAGGCATATAGTAATCCAATGAACCTAAGGGTATATGTAGTATATATATTAAAAGCAAAGTACTTCCCATGTACCTCCACCATGTTTATAGTCTGTTCACCTTGAGGCATGAAGTACTTAAGTCTCTAAATGTATTACCTTTCCTTAATATTGCTTCAATAAGACAAATGTTCAAATAATTTTGTAATTTAACATCATTGAGAAGTACCAAATTAGAAACCAAGCCCTAAAGCAACAGTGCCGGTTTTCTGCACTCAAATTAGTTTCCAGAAACATTTTTTAGATTCTATACTTAATTGCAAGAAAAATATTAAGTATGCTTCCTATTCAACTGAACTCAGACTAACAAACAGGTACTTCATGCTATTTAGAAATAAAACAGTTGAATCTTTAATGAAGATAAACTTTAATATCATCAAAAAAATTCAAAAGACCACAGAAACCATTATTCTTTTTGGAACAGGAAAATAAGAATGATGCAGTATAAGACTTCTAATATCAGTTCCCATTTCCTCTTTGAATTTAATATGCCACCATTGTAAAAATAACTAAAATTTATGAGGTGATCAACTTATATTGTCTCATTTAATTTGATTAACCTCATAAGACTACTGATTACTATAGCCTTCATTTCATTTTAAAACAAAAAAAATCAAGAATCGGTTCCTTATTCAAGGAAAAGAACTAAACTCCAGGGGCCTGAGTGGCTCAGTCAGTTAAGCATCTGACACTTGATTTTGGTTCAGTGATGATCTCAGGGTCCCTGAGATCCAGCCCTGCTTGGGATTCTCTCTCCTCATTCTGCTCATCCCTTACTCATGCTCACTCTCTCTCAAGACAAATAAATAAACTGAAATACCTTCAATGTACATCCTTATCTTGGGGGGTAGGGTGGCTATGTATAAGTGTGTGTATATATATATATTTGCATTTAAACCTCAATTCAAAATAACTAAAACTAAAAAATATATGCCTGCGGTATCTTCTTAAAAGTCATTTCTATATAATTCTTACACAACTGGACAAAACATAGAAGGAACTGGTCACAGTTAAAAACTAAAAAACATAATGCTATAACCAAATATGAAATGATACACTTTTTTCCAGGAATAATTTTTTTTTTTAAGTAATCTCTACACCCAATGTAGGGGCTCGAACTCATGATTCCAAGATCAAGAGTCATATGCTCTGTCAAGTGAGCTAGCCAGGTACCCTGATCAAGGAATAATTCATTACCCAAAATTCTTAGAGTAAAAACTTTCATTTAGTAAATCATGTAACAAACGATATTTAACAAATTCCCACATTAACCTATAAGAATAGAAGTTTATAAAGATTTTGCCTAGATTTTCCATACTGGTTATGCTTCAGATACATCAAATTACATGGTAATATTTGGAAAAACCACTGCATAATACGGACTTTCATAAACACTTCCTTTTCCACTAGGGGCATCTGGGTGTCTTAGTCAGTTGAGCGGCCAACTTGGTTCAGGTCACGATCTCATGGTTTATGAGTTCGAGCCCCACATCCGGCTCACTGTTGTCAGCAAAGAGCCAGCTTCAGATCCTCTATCCCCTTCTCTGTCCCTCTCCAACTTGTGTGCTCTCTCTCTCTCAAAAATCAACCAACATTAGGGGCACCTGGATGGCTAGGACAGTTAAGTGTCCAACTTCAGCTCAGGTCATTTTCTTGAGTTCAAGCCCCGTGTCAGGGCTCTGTCTGTGCTGACAGCTCAGAGCCTGGTGCCTGTTTCACATTCTGTATCACCCTCTCTCTCTGCATCTCTTCTGCTTGTGTTCTCTCTCTTTCAAAGATAAATAAACATTTAAAAAAAAAAAAGCTTTAAAAAAAAATACATAACACTTCCTTTTCCTTTTCCACTAAAGAACTTAGTAACAACAACAGGCCTAGTTCCGCCTCTTTAAACTACCACTTATAATTAGGAAACCATAAATTTCTACAAAGTCTTTCTTAATATTATTTCTAATAGAGTCAACTCTCATTACTTTAGGTAATAGTGGGAAAGCTATCTTAAATAATCCTAAATAATGACTAAAACAAAACTAAATCAAAATGAGTACCAAAAGGAATATAAATCTATGAGGCTTAAAATATATTCAATTTTCAAGAATACAGTTATGATTCTAAAGACATCTAAGAACAGAAACACAATACAAAGATTTCATAACATTAAAGAAAGATCACATGTATTATAATGAAAATCAGTCAGTATCTCCTAGTACTGTCTGGATTTTAGCTGTGCTCTCTCAAAAATACTGAAAAGGGAAATAAGGTGAGCAGGGATTTGGTCTCAGCTCTGAGTTCCCATCTCTCTTCTCTCTCCCTCACCTAATTGCCCTCACTGCCCTAACAATTCCTCACTGGAACCTGTACGACTAGAGTCACACCCAGTCCTTCCTTGCCTTTCCTCTTGCTTTCCCTGTGGCTGGGCAGGCAGCCATTATTAGGAGGCAGGGAGCAAAGACAGTAGGCCATAGGAAGCATATGGAAGAGAAGGAGGGACACAGGAGGAGGTACTTTAACTCAGGTTATAGTAGAGAAGCTGTCACACGTATGGACTACTACTTAGTGCCAAAAGGTAAATGTCTTAGAAGATACAGAACAAAGCATTTAAAAGCATAGAATGAGTAGCCAGACTCCCAGGGTTCAAATACGGCAGGGCTGGGGAGCCTGGGTGTCTCAGTCGGTTAAGTGTCTGACTTCGGCTCACGTCATGATCTGAATTCATGAGTTTTGGCCCCTCACTGGGCTCTGTGCTGACAGCTCAGAGCCTGGAGCCTGCATCGGATTCTGTGCCTTCCTCTCGCTCTACCCCTCCCCTGCTCATGCTCTGTCTCTCAAAAAATGAATAAGCATAAAAATTTTTTAAAAATAAAAAACAGTTGGGGCGCCTGGGTGGCTTAGTCGGTTAAGCGTCCGACTTTCACTTGGGTCGTGATCTCGCGGTTCGTGGGTTCGAGCCCCGCGTTGGGCTCTGTGCTGACTGCCAGCTCAGAGCCTGGAGCCTCTTTCAGAGTCTGTGACTCCCTCTCTCTCTGACCCTCCCCTGCTCACGCTGTCTCTCTCTCTCTCCTAGAAATAAATAAAACATTAAAAAAAATAAATAAATAAATAAATAAAAAACAGAAACAAAATCAAATACTAGCTCTGCCATGTATGGCTTCCACGATCTTAGGCAAATTTCTTAATCTCTATGTGCCTCAGTTTCCTCATTTATAAACTTCCCCATTGTTTGTTATGAGGATTAAGTCAGTTATGGTTGTAAATGAACTTAGAATAACACTAGGTATATATAGTAAGTGCTACATAAGTGTTTGTTAAATGAATATATAAAAACATGTATATCTTGGGTGGCACAGCAGGTTAAGCGTCTGACTCTTGGTTTGGCTCAGGTCATGATCTCACAATTTGTGAGTTCCAGGCCCACATCAGGCTGACAGTGCAGAGCCTGCTTGGAATTCTCTCTCTCTTTCTCACTCTGCCCTTCCCCATTCACTCTCTCCACCTCTCTCTCAAAAATAAATAAATTTAAAAAAATAAATAATAAAATAAAAAGACTTGTATATCTTTGATTTTGTATGAATTTCAATATTTTACATAAATAACCATCTGCCATTATTTTTCTATAGGTAGTATGAAACCAAAGGCAGATTAACCAATGCACATGGACTATACATTGATGAAGAAGAGAAAACTATTTCATACCTCTACTTTGGATGCCAAAAACACACATGTAGGAGCCATTAATACAGGATCTATACTTTTCAGAGAATACCTAAAAATATGATAAGACAAAGTTAAATGTCATTCATATAAAAACACATTGGAGGGGCACCTGGGTGGCTCAGTCGGTTAAGCATCTGACTTCGACTCAGGTCATGATCTCACAGTTCATGAGTTTGAGCCCCACATTGGGCTCTGTGCTGACAGCTCAGAGCTTGGAGCCTGCTTCAGATTCTGTGTCTCCTCTCTCTGCCTCTCCCAGATTTACACACATATTCTCTCTCTCTCTCTCTCTCTCTCTCTCTCTCTCTCAAAAATAAACATTAAAAAACATTTTTTAAAAACACACTGGAAAAAAAAATCAAGGTAACTATGGTACACACGATTCAATTATACTAAGGTTCATCAACATTACTTAAGAGTTTCAAATAGGTATAACATATTCCCAAAATAAAAGTCCTACCTGGCATAGAATCTCTTGAAATAGACTGTAGCAGTGGCAATAACTTGTTGTCTTAATTTAAGATGTTCACCTAATGCTTGAATAACTAGAAAAAAGAAATAAAGTTTTATATGTATCTTCTGGTATCACTGTAACATTGACATTGAATAATAACTTCCATGTGGTTAAATCATGACTATATTCATTTTTAACAAAGAGAAAAACCTACATATGCTATAAAACTCGATTTGGATCATACTGGACTAGTACTAGGATTTGCAAATCTGTTAAAAAATATATAGGTATGCAATAAAAACAATAAAAAATAGAAATTGCCCCTAGTAAACACTATTCTTATATTAAGAAGGCTGAATAATAGGTATTTCCCTCTGAATGATAAGAATTTCAATGCATTTCATAGTATCTTTAGAATATAAAAAGAAAATATTAAACAACTATCAAATTCATTACACCTACCACTTTATAAAGTTTATTAAAAACTCTATAACGAATCCTTAAAATAACAGAGAGATAGGTTTACAGAACTGTGAACAGAGGGTTAGAAAAATCATATAACAAAGCTACAAGGGGGCAGAGCAAGGATTTTCTGATTCTAAATCTCCTTTCCTCCAAAGCAAACTTATTAAGATAAGGATGACCAATATAGGATGTCAATCCAAAGACTCCATTTATCCCCAAAACATTTGCTTTAGCCAATCTTAAATTGGGTTTAACAATGTATTATAAAGACTTAGGGCAATCAATGAACACTTTCAAACTGTTTTGAGTGTCTCTGATACATGTAAGATTCACGAGACTTTATTTAGATCACTTAAAAAGAAAGGTAAGTGAATATAAGTTATAAAATGAGAACATATATAAATAAAAATGTTAATTAGGAACTAAAACAACTCATCACAAATTACTATACAAAGGTTTGAATTCAGAGGTGACCAACTGTGCCATTTCAGTTAATTGTTTTTTAATATTTACCATTTGTAAAAAATATTTGTAATTTCCAATACTCTTCTTCTGAGAGAAACTTTAAGTCCTTCTGGCGTTCCTTCAACAAATCTTGTTTATCCAAAATCCATTGCAAACTGAAAAAAACAAAGATGTTAAAACACGATACAGAAAATCAACAAAGTCACAAAAAAAACATTCTAAAATTGACTAAGTTATAAACATTCTGAGAAATACAAAGTGCAAGAAGTAACACAGAAGACAGTATTTTTCACTTTCCTTGAAATTCCAACACTGAGAATTATCTCACTGGGGCACCTGGGTGGCTCAATTGGTTAAGCATCTGATTCCTGATTTCAGCTCAGGTCATGAGCTCATGGTCCTTGGGTGAGCCATGCTGACAGTACAGAGCCTGCTTGAGATTCTCTCTCTCCCTCCCTCTTAGCCCCTCCTACGCTCTCTCAATCTCTCTCTCCCCCACTCAAAATAAATTAATTAAATAAAAGAGAATTATCTCACTAATAAATGTAAATATGCTCTGAAAACAATTCCACTCTAATTTTCTCAGTATCTTTCTCTCTCTACCGTATACTACATTTCATTGGTTTTAACCATATATTACATTTCATTGGTTTTAAGACTCTGGTATCAAGAGACCTTATAAACAGTGATGCCTTATGCTTTTAACTAGTGGTACATTTTTTTCTTAGTGATACATAAAATAATGGTAAAGTTATTTGACACCAAATGATGGTACCTTAGATTTGAAGTATCTTTTCTCAGTTGTTCATGAGTAACTGGAGTATTTCATTGCCCTACTTCACAAATTTCAATCATGTTAAAAGCCGCTTCAGGATTTATTACACTAATAGTCTCCTCCACCTGCCTAGTCAAGTCTACTATTTTTAACCAGAGATAAGATATTGATATGACCCATAAAACTATTTTGCAACTTGCTTTTGTCATTCAGTATGTACTGAAAGTCTTTTTATGTCAAGAGATTTGTTATTCCGCATCCTTTTAAACTCCACAGCTTTATGGATGTATTATTATTTAGTTAATTCCTATTAATAAGGCAGATAGGTTATAATTTTTTACTATTAAAAATGCTTTAATGAATAGCTTTGTAATTCACCCTTATATATTTAGTTAATATTTAAAATAACTTTCTAGAAATAGAACTGATTGGTCAGTTTTAGTGCTAGTTTTGTTATAAATTGGCAGTTTGCAGTCCATATGTCACATCAATTTCCATTCCTATTAAAAGTACACGGGGGTGGGGTGCCTGAGTGGCTCAGCTGGCTGAGCACCTGACTTCAGCTTAGGTCATGATCTCACAATTCGTGAGTTCAAGCCTCACATCAGCACAGAGGCTGCTTGGAATTTTCTGTCTCCTCCTCTCCTTACCTCCCTCCCTCAAAATAAATAAATAAACTTTTTAAAAATATCTTTAAAAAAAAGTACAGGAGGGTGTTTTAAAATACTTAACCCTTCTGATGCCTGGGTGGCTCAGTCGGTTAAGTATCCGACTCACTTAGGTCATGCTCTTACAGTTTGTGAGTTCAAGCCCTGCATCTGGCTCTGTGCTAACAGCTCAGACTCTGGAGCCCACTTTGGATTCCGTGTCTCCCCTTCACTCTACCCTTCCCCTGCTCATACTCTCTCTCGCTCAAAAATAAACATATATTAAAAACAACTTTAAAAAATATTTAACCCTCCTATGAGTTACTGCCAATCTTTTAAATACTTTACAAATGAAAGGCAAAGCAGTATCTTAATATTTGGGGGGCATGGGGGTTGTTTGTTTTTCATTTACTTGTGAGGTTGAACATTTTCCTGGACTTATTGGTCAAATATAGTTCTTCTTTTGTACACTTCAATTCTCTTTTTTTTAAGTTTATTTTTTATTTATTTTGAGAAGGAGATAGAGAGCATGCAAGGGAGGGGCAGAGAGAGACAGAATCCCAAGTGGGCTCCAAGCTGCCAGCACAAAGCTTGACATGGGGCTTGAAATCGAGAACCTTAGATGATGACTTGAGCCCAAGTCAAGAGTAGGAGCCTTAATTGACTAAGCCCCCCAGGTCCCCTGTAAACTGTAATTTTAATCTGACAATTTTTCTAATGGGATGGTCTTTTTCACAACTTAGAATTCTTCTCATATACTGTACATATTATAGACAATAAATCATTTGTCAAATACACTGTAATCACTTCCCAAGTTTAGCATGATCCCTTAATATTACTTATAATATAGAAATATGGATCACTTATTAAAACCAACCCATATTTTACTTTGGTTTTATGCTTGTCACAATGAAAAGGCCTTTCCTGACACCAAATGATTTTAAAAAAAAAATCCACCTCTATTTTCTAATACACTTAAGGGTTTTTTTCTTCCCATTTGTGATCCATCTGGAATTTATTTGGGTACAGGGTAGAAAACAGGGATCCAGTAAATGTTTTGTCAAATGGTTATCCAAATGTTGACCAAAGTATTTCTTGATGTATAATTCTGTTATTGTATTTGCAATCTACTTTATAATTCCCTTTGTTTCTTATTCCTATGCCATGCTATTTTAAAAACATAAAGTTAAACATTTCAAATCTGGTATGGAAAATATCCCCTTGCTACTGTTCTTCAGAAAATTGCTTGATATTCTATTACAGTTTTTATTCTAAAACTTGAACTTTTAAAAGCATTATGTCAAGTCCCAAAAGGAACTTTTAAAGGAAATTCATTCAAAATTGTTTGGGATTGCATTAATGAGATCAATATAGGAAGAAATGCTATCTTTACAATGTTAGAATTCAAACTCCATTTTTTAAAATCTTCATGTTCTACTACAAAATTTAAAATGTTTCTTCCTATATGTCCTGTACATTTCTTTTGTTTATTGTGTATTTCATGCTGTTGCTACAATTATATATTTCTATCATTCATTTATTTTTTTAATATATTTATTCTAATGTTTATTTTTGAGAGAGTGCAAGGGGTAAGGGTAGAAAGAGGGGGAAAGAGGATCTGAAGGTGGCTCTGCACTGACAGCTAACAGGCTGACAGCAGCGAGCCAGATGTGGGGTTCAAACTCAGGAACCCTGAGATCATGACCTGAGCTGAAGTTGAATGCTCAACTGACGGAGACACCCAGGTCACCCTACCATTTATTTAAAAGAAGGCTTTCCATTTTTACATTATGTAACTGGTTACCTTATTAAGTCTTTATTTATAATAATTTTTCAACTAACTAAATTTTCTTAAGTTTATCTCTATATACTGATAATTTTGTCATTTTTTACATCTCATTCTATTAAATGCATTGAGTAGCATTTTCAGAACAATGTTAAACAGGCACTGTAATTTTTCTAATGATTCACCATTAAATATCTCTTGATTCTTTGATGTTCTTACCATGTTAAGAAAGCATCCTATTTGTTTTAGTCAAGAACAGATGTTGAATTTTAACAGAGGTCTTGATGCCTTCACTGTTTATTAATAGATTTCCCAATGTTGACTATATTTCTATAATAAAATCATTATCATTTTTTATATTTCTAATGTAATAGTAGGCTCTACTTGGAAATACTTTATGATGTTTGCATCAGTATTCAAAAGTGAAATTGTTTTTACTACCTTTGCTAGGTTTTATCAGTGTTATTGTAGCTTCATAAAGAGAACTGGAAAGCTTTCTGTATGAACGAGAATAATTTCAATAGCAGATCCTGTTGAAAATGGGAAAACATGTACCCATGAAATAATGTGGGCCTGGAGCATTTTTTAAGGAGTAGCTCTCTGGTAACTTTCTTAATTTGTTTTGGCTTTCAAACTTATCCCCATGGAGATAACCCAAAGGTACATCTGGATTTATTTGCTTTTCTCATTCTTAATTTTGTATTTTTGTATCATCCCTTTTTTCCTTGCTTCAACTAGCAGCAGTTTAGTCTATTGTTTTCATTTTCCCTTCCAAAGAGCCACCTCTTAAAATTTCTGACTACTTTTTTCCTTTTAAAATGTTAATATCAGGAATGCCTGGGTGGCTCAGTTGGTTAAGCGTCTGACTTTGGTTCAGGTCATGATCTAGTGGTTAGTGGGTTTGAGCCCCACATCAGGCTCACTGTTGTCACCACAGGGCCTGCTTAGGATCCTCTGTTGCCTTCTCTCTCTGCTCCTCTTCTGTGCGCGTGCACTCTCTCTCTCTCAAAAATAATAAACATTAAAAAATAAAATGTTGATATTGGTATTACCTTTAATTCTTTCTTTTCCACTTGGATTTATTTCAGTTTCGTTTTTAATATTCTTTAAGTCTTTCTCTTTTTTCCCCTTGGATTTATTTCACTGTTTCCTTTTTAATATTCTTAAGTAGAATATTTTGACTTATTTTTATCCTTTCACAGTTTTTCAGGACGTTAGTTTATAACTTTGACTCTGGCTATATCCCATAGGTATGGATATATATTGATCTCATTAAGTTACTTCCTTGATATTATGTAACTATATTTTCAGTTTCCTCTTTGATACAATAAAGTACCAGAATTGACTTTGTACTTTTTAATTTGTTACCTGTTCATTAATTCATTCAGTCAACCAGCTAAAATTTAGTGCCCTTATACTTTTAATGCAGTAAGGTCCAAGAATGTGTTGTGTTCAACCTTCTAGAAAATACTGTGATTCACTCTGTTCTAGAATTATCATTAATTTCACAGTCATTTAATGTTTTAGAAAGATAAACTTCACAATCAAATATTTTAAGTTTTTCTTCACAGCACATAGTAGGGAAGATAAACCAAGAACACTTATAAATACCAAATTTCATAAAATTTAATTCACCATTATTGCATGTGCTACTAAGAAAAAAAATTACCATGCTCATTTCAGAAATGTTAAAATCTTCCTCTTCAAAAAAATCACCTAAAACAATAGTTTTTGTAACTTTTTTGGTTTGTTTTTCCAGAATTAATCGCCTTGTCTTCCTTATAACCTTCTGCAGATAAGGCACTTCATGATTCTCAAGAGATCTAAGGCGCCCCCTCCTCCAGGACCATTTGAATTGGGAGACAAAGACACTTCCAAAAAAGCACATTTAACATTATAACAATTTTATAGTTCAAAAGTGAAAACACAATTATTATAGATCCTGCCCCCCCCCATTGATAAATACTGTCAATAAATGAAAGCATAACATCAAAAGGTGGGCGGGGCACCTGGTAAGCCTCTAACTTCAGCTCAGGTCATGATCTCATTTGATCTCACCGTTTGTTGAGTTCAAGCCCTGCGTCATGCTCTGTGCTGACTGTAGCCTGCTTAGGATTCTGTGTCTCCCTCTCTCTCTGTCCCTCCCCACCTAAAGCTCTCTCTCTCAATCAATCAATCAACATTGTTTTAAAAAGGGTGGTCAGATCTTTTTTTTCCTTAGTAGAGAAAATGACTGCAATTTTCATAATCAACAGCTAACTCCCTGTCAATTCTTTCTCACTTTCGAAGTTTATCAAAATACTACCGCTTCACTAAATTTTCTGTATTTTAATTTTTCCCAGGCAAATATGACAGTGAGCTAAACTGCACAATACAAATGTGATCAGAAGTTGAGCTTCTACAGAAGTTCATCTCCAGAAATTAATTCACAGCAAGAGGAAAACCTGCTTTCTTAAAAACAGGTTTCCAAAACCATTCTTTTTTCTTTTCCTACAAAGGACTAAAAAAGGAATGAATAGGAATTCATCTTTTTCACAGAATCAAATTTTAAATTACAATTACTAATGCTCTCTTAGCATTGAGAGATACACTAAAATATAATAGCACCAGGTTCTGTTCATCTTCCAACTGTACAGTGGAAAACCTAGTCAAAGATCAATTAGTCCCATCATCCACCTTTCTGCCTACTTAAATGTACTTAGGGGGAAATATTTTTAATATTACTCTAGTTGTTCCATGGTCACTAGCAAAAACAAAAACGAATTCATGAAATATGTTAAAGAAATCGGCAGTCACTGGGAAATACATGATTAAAACAAAAATATAAGGTACAGACGAATGAAATGGACACATTTTGAGAGCACCTGCCCTACACCTCACCAACATACAACTCCATCTAGGCATAAGGTAATGGCAGGAACTGGTGAAAGGGCAGAAACAAGCCTGACCCTCCACGGAAGAGTATTAAATCCACTCAAGACAGAAGGCGGCTGACAAAAGACTACAATGCCGATTCCCTGAAGAGAACCCAGGCAAAAGCGAACCATAACCGTCCTACAGAGCCCTCCTGACAGTTGCGAACTATGCCACACTTCCCATACCTGTGCCCATCGCATCCCAACCCGCCCCACCTCCGGGCCTAGCTCATCCTAAATTACACTCCTTCCTTCCTCGGAGACCGAACCTCCTTAGCCCCCGCCCTTTCCCGCTCTCAGCCCAACTCCCCCCACGCCAACCAAATACTGCCAGGGGGCGGGGAGAGGGGAGTCGCCAGAGAAAAGTGCGTCCGGCTCCCAGCGGCTGCCGCCTCCCGGGAGACCCCGCGGCGCTCGGAACAGGAGCCGGGATCCAGGCCAAGGGGAGTCGCAGGCCCGGTGCTCACCGACTCCCAAGAACAAGCCACGGGCGAGAAGACGGAAGATCACTTACTAATGGGAGCTCTGCCAAAAGTTCCCTGCCATGGAACACAGCCTGCCCTGATAAAAAAGCACCAGCCGGCGGAGCGGCCCGCGGAGCGACCATAGACACAGCCCGCCCGGTAACTGCGCTCCTGGATCTGATCGGCTCCGCTCCGCTCCGCGGCGGCTACGGTGAGAGGAAGAGGATGGCACTCTATTCTCCTTGTCGCCGGCCGGCAACACTCTACGGTGTAAACCCGTTCCTATGGATAAAAGTTCCGGCCCGCCCCTCCGTAGCCATAGCGGAGGAAGCCGGCGGGGAGGAGACGGCCTGTGGGCGCAGAAGGGGCGGGAATTGGTGCTCACCGAAGACTTACGGTGGTCGGAAGGTTCTCGCGTGAGCTTCCTCCGAGTTCCGGCCTGGAACCCGCGAGCTGTTTTATCTGAGTGGGGAGTATATAGGGCAAGTAAGGTGGTTTGGGATTTTGTTATTTCATTTTGCAGGCCTCCGCGGTGGCACCTCATTACGATATAAGATTTACTGACTTCAGTTCTTTAACCTGCTATTGGAAAGAGGAAGAAAGATTATCTTGGCCTAAATAGACGATAGGTAGATAATTTTGTCCTCCAGGACCTACCAAAATTCACCGGTTCCAAGCGTAATACGTTCTTAATGGAGTCCTTTTGGACTGGATTGCAAACACAAAGCAGCTGTGCTTTTCAAAGTCAGAGACTACCGGTTTTCCAGAACAGTGAAAAACGTTTTTCCTTTATTACAGATATACATGTGTGTGTATTCATATATATGTGCCAAATAGAAACATACAGCTCAAAATGCAATAATTTTATTTTACAAGATGAAATAATCTGTATTTCTCATTTTCTCAAATGTTTTATTTATTTCTAGGCGAGAGAGAGAGAGAGAGAGACTGCGTGAGCAGGGGAGGGTCAGAGAGAGGGAGTCACAGACTCTGAAACAGGCTCCAGGCTCTGAGCTGGCAGTCAGCACAGAGCCCGACACGGGGCTCGAACCTACGAACTGCGAGATCATGACCTAAGCGAAAGTCGGACGCTTAACCGACTAAGCCACCCAGGCGCCCTTGTATTTCTCATTTTTATGTTGTGACATTGCATTTATTATAAAGCTTATTTTTATAAATAATTGGATACACCTGAATGTTGTTCACAGCTTAAGACACTATTTTTCAGCTAAGTGAAATAAGTCGGAGAAAGACAGATACCATATGGTTTCACTCATGTCCAATTTAAGAAACAAAACAGAGAAAAAAGAGACAAAAAACAGACTCTTAGAGAACAAACTGGTGGTTGCCAGAGAGGAGGTGAGTGGGGGAAAGAGTGAAAAAGGTAAAGAGGTTTAAGAATAAACATTACAGTGATGAGCGCTGAGTAATGCATAGAATTGTTGAATCGTATTGCACATCTGAACTAATACAACACTGTATGTTAATTATACTTGAATAATAAATAATTTTAAAAAGGTAAAATTAGAGGAAAAACTGCTTTTAAATTTATTTATTTATTTGGGAGGGGAGGGTCAGCAAGAGAGGGAGAGAGAGAATCCCAAGCAGACTCAGCACTGTTAGCACAGAGCTCGATGTATGGTTCAGTCCCACTAGACCGTGAGATTATGACCTGAGCCGAAATCTAGAGTTGGATGCCTAACCAACCCAGCCACCCGGGTGCCCCAAGAAAAACTGTTTTTTAAAAAAAGACATTATTTTTCACACTGACGGTGGAGACAAGTTGGGTGATGACATTGTGAGTATGATAAGCATTTTCCTGAATGAAATAAAATATCAGGTATGTCAGAAATAGTATTACTATAATAGTATTTTAAATTTTTGATTACATTGTATATGTATATGTATACATGTATCTGTGTGTGTGTGTATATATATGTAGTTGAGATATGAAACGTATCAGTAGCTTAATACAAAGTATTTTTTATTATTAAAAGTGTTTTAATAGTTTATTTATTTTTGAGACAGAGACAGATAGAACATGAACAAGGGAGGGGCAGAGAGAGAGGGAGATACAGAATCTGAAGCAGGCTCCAGGCTCTGAGCTGTCAGCACAGAGCCCGACAGAGGGCTCGAACCCATGAGTTGCGAGATCATGACCTGAGCCAAAGCCAGACGGACGCTCAATTAGGCCAAAGGTACCCAGGCACCCCAATACAAAAGTATTTTATATGACACATGTCACTACCATCAAGTCTGATCTGGATTATATTCACCTTGGTGATTGTCCTCCAGATCTTCAAGGATCTGGCATATTTTCATCTTTCAACTACTCTATCTTGATTCTTTGCTTCTGGGTTTCAAATCTTCCTACCGCATAGGGCTCTATGCTGACAGCTCAGAGCTTGGAGCCTCCTTCCAATTCTGTGTCTCCCCTCCTCCACACACACCCTTCTCCCACTTGCAATCTCTCTCTCAAAAATAAATAAAACATTAAAAAAATTTCAAATCTTTCTAGAAAGTTCAGAGGACTCTCAGTGACTCTTAATCAGTGTTAAGAGATTTGAACCAGAAACAATACAATCACTTCCTTCCATGACCCATTGACCGGATAGGCACATGCCTCTAACTTAACTGCAAGAGAGGCTGAAAAATGTAGGGGAACGTGTAAAATATTTGATGAACACTAATGTAGACTACACTGCAGATCATACTCAAAAAAGTTTGAAAAGTGGTAGCTTAAGAAACACCAGTCCATAGGGGCACCTGGGTGGCTCAGTCAGTTGAGCATCTGACTTTGGCTCAGGTTATGATCTCGTAGTTCGTGAGTTTGAGCCCCACATTGGGTTCACTGCTGTCAGCCTGTCAAGCACAGAGCCTGCTTCAGATCCTCTGTCCTCCTCTCTCAGCCCCTCCCCCAACTTGCACTCTCCCAAAAAATAAAGAAAAAGAAAAAAAAAAGAAACACCAGGCCATAGGATACTTCACAGAGGTTCAGAATTTCTTCAACTCTCTCAGAGGTTTTTGACGGTTTGGTATCTTTCAGAAGATAAGGACACTGTGATAAATTAGTATTGTTAAATGTTTTGTTTTATGTGCCTCTGTTACACTTTGTTTCTACCACTAGACCAGTACTGTTTCATATCTAATTCTACGCTCTTCTTCCTACAAAACTGTGAGCTCCTTCATCTTTGTATCCCTATTAGTTCAAGGTATAACACATGGTAGGCAGAACAGTACTGATATTTGAAACTGATATAACCAGGGCAGGAAGGGGAGTGGGGGTGGAGGGGGGCTCCTTGAAGAATAACATTATGGACACAAAATTAGGTTCTGAAGTGAGTATTTAGAATGCAAAATAGAAATCAAACAAATGAACAAGGCCTTGGAGATTCAGGTCCTTTCTTCTGTGAACTCTTAGGCAATTTACCAAAAAAAAAAAAAAAAAATTAAATAGAAATACTTTCTGTCTGCAACCTGGTTTCTGCCTCCCAACCGGAACAGCACATTCCCAGCAGCTCCAGTGCTCCTAGTGGCTGTGCAAGACAAGAACCCGAATAAAGCTTGGGCTTCATTTGTTTCAGGGCAAATCATCTCTGAAGGTAGACTATAAATGTAGGTTGAATTGAATTGACTTGAACCAAATGCTACTTAATTTAAGCATATCTCTGCTGAAATAGAGCAATTTACAAAAGTTATTAAAATGCCTATATATCCCAGCTCATCTAGATGCAAAAGATGATGAGCCATGTAGGTTTGCTTAATTTTACTGATAGTTTTTTTTTTAACTTTTCTTTATAGTTTTAGTATTGTTCCTCAGTCCTCACTAGTCACTGAGTCACTTAATTTGATCACTTACTGGAATCAGTCTTGTCCCTTCTAATTTTTTATTTACCTTGTAATTTTCAAATAGGAACATGCTCAGTAAGTTCTTGATGCTAATATTGATTCTCCTGTGATAAAAAAAAGTATTTCTCCTTTTTCTTATAATGCCTTCTCCAGAAGTATGAATGCTATTTCTCAGAAACTCAAGCCTAGAAATGTAGTTATTTTATCAAGATTACTTACCTGGTTAATGGCAAAACAGCAGGAATCGAGTTCTGATTCCCAGTGCAGTGAGATTTTCTCTCAACCATACAGTTTCAATAAAAGTATAATAGCTAAATTACTATAAACACAATATTACAGGTTTGTAGTAGGAGTTTCTCTTTCTAAACACTATTATTGGAGACCTTCTTCTCACTTTTAAATTTTTATTGTAATTTGTTTTGATACTAATAGTCTTTATTGTGAAAATATGCTTTCCTCTATCTAGTCATTCACTGTGCTTCCCTTTATTTTAATTTTTGGATACCTGGATTTATGGAAGATGACTAAACCTCTAACTTATACAAAGCTTACTACTAGTTAAGAACCCCGCTCTATGTCAGGGTGGCTCAGTTGCCTAAGTGTCTGACTCTTGATTTCAGCTCAGGTCACAATCTTATAGTTCATGGGATCAATCCCCAGGCAGGGCTCTGTGCTGACAACACAGAGCCTGCTTGGGATTCTCTCTCCCTCTCTCTCTGCACAGCCCCCCACCCCCCATGTGTGCTTTCTCTCTCTCTCTCTCTCTCTCAAAATAAATTAAAAACTATGCTTAAAAAAAATAACTGAGTCTCTAAACTAGACCGATCAAGTTCCAGTAATAGCTCTGCCATTTACTAGTTGTGTAATTGGTCAGCTCAGGCTGCTGTAACAGAATACCACACACGGGGTGGCTTAAGCAACAGACATTTATTTCTCACAGTTCTGGAGGCTGGGAAGTCCAAGATCAAGGTGCCAGCAGATTTGTTTCCTGGGAAGAACTGTCTTCCTGGCTTGCAGATGGATGCCTTCTCATTGAGTCTACACCTTGCAGAGAGAGGGGGAAAGAGAAAGAAAGAGAGAATAAGGATCATCCTATCATCAGGGCCTCACCCTTATGATCTCATCAAAACCTAATTAACTCCCAAAGGCCCCACCTCTAAACACCGCTGGTTATCAGAACTTCCACATAAGAATTTACATTCAGTCTATGCCAATAACCTTGGTCAAACTACTTAATCACACTGAATCTCAGTTTCTTCTTCTGTAAAATAGGGATAATCATAGTTCCTAAATCATAGAGTTCTGGTGAGGTCTAAATGAACCTTAAATAAAATTAGAATAGGGCCTAGTACATGGCACTACAATAACTCCTAGCGTTTAGCTTTTATTATTTAAAAGAAGCTTAAATTCTACAATCTGGACTCTA